GCCTTCAGTCCTCTCCCCAGGATGGGCAGGCCCTCATGTCCCTGTTGTTCCCAGGACCACAATCCCAGGGGCCATCAGGGCAGGGCTGGCCAACCCCCAAAGTGGCCATCGGCTGAAACATCCTTTTGTAGCAAAGGCCATGAGGAGGAGGAAATACATGGTACCCCTGAGGTAGGGTCAAGACCTTGCTGTGACCTGGATTAAAAAAGGGGTAATAGATTTCAGGGTTCTACCGCCAGTGCTCACCTGGACACTGTCATTTCTCCTGTGAGTGACCCCAATTTGCATTTTTGTGCAGTGCATAAGGGGCTCAGGGGAGACTGGAGGCTCAACCTGCCGCCCAGGCTCTAGGTGAGAGCTCAGCCTGGGCTCCGGAGTTGACTGAGGCCCCCCCAAGAGCCCCTCTCATTACTGCTGGACAGAGACTCCAGTTTGTCTCCTCAGGCTGGGGAGCAGGCTGTCACTTCCCCTCAGGCATCGCCCTTCCCATGACATGGCTTCGGAACATTCACCACTGGCTCCGCCTCCTCCTGTTGGTGCCTCTGAAGGGACACATGGGCCTGGCCCTGGTCACCTGCTCATCTCTGGTTCTGGGTCACGGGGCTGAGTGGGTGCCTCGTGGAGATGGATGGGGCTGTAGGGGGTAAGGGGTCATGTCCTGTCCCACTCCTGACCGGGATCAGATGCTGCCTTCCTGGGTCTGACTGAACCCACATTCTCAAAGGTGGCATTGGACATCCCCAGAAGCCTTGGGGTCCAGAAGCAGAAACCAGAGGGCAACCCTGGCTGCCAGACCCAAGGGTTTGGACTTGAAGAGGCCTCTCAAGGGGTCTCCTTGCCAACAGGGGGGCATTGCAACCCCAGACTCAGAGCTGGACACACCCTCAGTTACCCAGAATCAGAACCCCTGTCCCAGGGCAAGTTTCTGACTCAGCAGGTTCAGGGAACTGAGTTTCTAACAGGTCCTGTGCTGGGCATGCTGTCAAGTCAGGGTCACCCTGGGAGGACCCAGCTCTCACCCAGCCACCTGGTGTGTCAGATGGGGAAACCAAAGCACAAAAGGTTCCCTAGCTGCAGGCAAAGTCAACCAGCCAGGGGACAGGCAGGGGCCACCACACGGGTTCCCCCTTGATGACGGTTCCATGATGGAAATGGGCCACATGAGTGTAGTGATGGCTGGTGGGTTTTGTTTACTAATATGATGTACACCATACTGATTGACTGGACTACATGTCCATGTCCTCCAAATCCACATGTTGAAGCTCTGACCCCCAATGTGATGTTAGGAGATAGGATCACTGTCCTTAGAGAAGAGGAACTCCTTCTCTCTGCCAGATGAGGACATAGTGAGAAGGCAGCTATCTGTTGGCCAGTGTCTTCCTCTGAGCCATGGCCTCCCGGTACAGAGGGTCCTGGGAACCACCTCCATAGTTTGTGCAGATTGAAGGGAGTCACATAGTGAGCCGGGCTGAGGTGACAGTGACAGGGCAGGTGGGCCAAGTAAGGGGTTGGGCAGTGGCTAACTGCAGGCAGAGGCCCAAGCAATGCCAGGGGTTTGGAAGGAAGCAATAACCACCCTCTGAGAGAGAAGGGCACCGGGCTGCGGGGAGAGGTGGTGCTGGCTGAGGTGAGGAGCTGGAAGAGCTATCTAAAGATCTTGGTGACTGGCTGGTGAAAGCAGCAGGCCTATCAGCCCATGAGGTTCTGTCTCAAGGTCGGAGAGAGAAGTGCCCTGTGAGCGAGGAGGAGGCAGGGTACACCAGTCTGTACTGTGTAACAGGTGACCAGACTCAGTGCTTCAGGCGGCACCCATTCATTAGTTCAGGTCAGAAGCTGGGTAGTTTGTCTGGGTTTCTTGCTCAGGGTCTCATGATGCCAAAATCAAAGTGGCCAGTCTGGGAAGAACATGCTCCCAACCTCATCTAGCCGTCAAACTCAGGCCCTTGTGGTGAGGGGACCCAGTCTCCATGTACTGGCAGCTGTCGGTCTGGTGGTTTGTAGCTCCTCGGGCAGTGATGGTGAACCTTTTGGTTTTTTTTTTTTTTTTTTTTTTTTTAAATATATTTTATTGATTTTTTCACAGAGAGGAAGGGAGAGAGACAGAGAGTTAGAAACATCGATGAGAGAGAAACATCGATCAGCTGCCTCCTGCACATCCCCCACAGGGGACGTGCCCGCAACCCAGGTACATGCCCTTGACCGGAATCGAACCTGGGACCCTTCAGTCCACAGGCCGACGCTCTATCCACTGAGCCAAACTCGGGCAGTGATGGCGAACCTTTTGAGCTGGGCGTGTCAGCATTTTGAAAAACCCTAACTTAACTCTGGTGCCGTGTCACATATAGAAATTTTTTGATATTTGCAGCCATAGTAAAACAAAGACTTATATTTTTGATATTTATTTTATATATTTAAAAGCCATTTAACAAAGAAAAATCAACCAAAAAAATGAGTTCGCGTGTCATAGGTTCGCCATCACTGTCCTAGGGGCCACTTTCTGGCCCCTCCATCTCGGAGCCTCAGCAGCTCCAGAGGGCGCTGACTTCACCCCCAGCTGGCGGTTGTGCTGTGAAAACAACTCGTGGTGGGCCCTGATTGACATCCACTCTCCACCACAGGTCCTGCCGATACAGCTATTGTGATCTGCTGTCTATCACAGTCGGGGCAGCAGGGTGGGGGCTCTTGGGGCCACAGTAGAGTCTGGGCTCAGTGGGTGGTGAGGCAGGGGGAGCCACGCCCTGCCTTCCCACAGCACGCAACCCCCCACAAACACTCGGAGTAGCCTCAGTGCCAGCCCCTGGGACAGGAGATGGCATCTCTATTTGCACCCACCACGGACCGCAGTTGGGCTCACCTTCAACTATGAACACGGTGGCAAACTGCAGCACTGTTGGCAGTTTCTGAGCCAAATTCACCAGGAGAAAGCAGACACTTTCATCTCAGATGATGGTGGGGCCAGAGAGTACAGAATGCACTGGCACTCTCAGCCCAGGCGTCGGCTCAACAAAGAGACACGCTCGCTCCCGAATCACAGCCTTGTGCTGCGGCTGCAGTCAGTCTGCTGCTTCCTCATAACCGTGTCTTCTCTTGATTCAAGATGAATTCTACCACCCATTCCCACGCTGTGTCCACTTCCCCTCATGCTCACATCTTGTATAAGGGGCACGTTTGTCAGGTGGAGAGCCCGTCCTGTGCAGTGCCACTAGCCACACATGGCCGACGTCACCAGTCTCTGTGGATGTTTTTTTCCTGCCCCATCCCATTCTGTGCTGCCTCTAGTCCGTAGGAGAGGCCAGTACATGGTAGTCCCAGGAGACTGAGCCCCATCAGCCACTGCTGCAGGTGGAGGCTCTTCCCCACCTTCCCATCCAGCCCTCAGCCCAGCCCAGAGCCTCCCACTTCCGCTTGGAAGTGTGTGGGGGGAGGGAGTTATAGACTCTGGTTTCCAAGTATTGATTGCCTAGGGCAGTGGTCAGCAAACTCATTAGTCAACAGAGCCAAATATCAACAGTACAACGATTGAAATTTCTTTTGAGAGCCAAATTTTTTAAACTTAAACTATATAGGTAGGTACATCGTTATTAACTTAATTAGGGTACTCCTAAGGCTTAGGAAGAGCCACACTCAAGAGGCCAAAGAGCCACATGTGGCTCGAGAGCCGCAGTTTGCCGACCACGGGCCTAGGGACATCTACTTTCTCCTCGGTGAGAAATCTGGGTCCTGGGTGTGTGCAGTGTGGATGCTTTCCCAGCTTTATTGAGATTCAGGTGACACATGGCATTGTGTGAGGTTCAGGTGTACAGTGCAAAGATTTGATAATGTAGATGTTGTGAAATGATACGCTCACATAAGGTTAGTGAACGTATTTGGATTTTTTATATGATTTTTTAATGGTTCAATTTATCCTTTAAGACCTAGCCAACATTTGGTGGCCCAATTAGCCCTCTTGGCCCTCTCCTGCCCTCCTCCTGCTCAACATCCCCTGCCCTTGTAGAAAGGGACATTCCCAACCCCCCCCCCCCCCCCCGCTCTATCCTCTGCTCTCAGGCTTCCTCAGACAGGGTCTGCATCGCCCAGACCCCCTTAGTCACCTGGTTCTTGAGCAGAAAAACCTTCCTGGAAGTAATTCAAGAAATTAAAGGGGTGGGAGAGGGATCCTGCTGGGGTTGGTGGAGGCTGGAGCAGCTGGAGCGGCATCTGGGCTGGCGGCCATTGGCATCCTGGCCTCACTCAGGGAGGTGACGAGCCCTGGCCTGCCCAGAGGAGAGCCCGGAGGAGGCAGGTGGGAGCTGATTTAGCACCCCCAGAAATGAACTGGGGAGAGGCTATTAACTTGAGAGACCCTCTCTGCTTCCCCTAGAGCAGAGTCCTGGGGTGTGAAGGAAGCAGGGTGGGTCCAATCTTTCTGCCCTGGCCTTGGCTTGCAGGCAAGAAGGAAGATGGGAAGGGCCGAGGTGGTGCAGGCTCTGTGGGAGGTGTGGGAGCTGTGGGGTTCTGGGGTGAGTGCCTTGCCCCTCCTGTACCCCCACACAGAATACATCCTGGCCTCACATCTGGCAGGGGCCAGCACCTTGAGACTGGCAAAGACAGAGGGATGGAGTCATCTTGTCTTTCTGTCTGAGACTCTAAGTCAACATCGACATGAATTTTCCTTCTAGTGAGAGATGGGCTCCCCGACAGGAGGCCTGTGGAAGCTGCTGAAGAAGCCAGAGCCACCGTGGCTCCTCTCCCCACCTGGCTTCCTGATGGACAATCAGCCAGCCACACGGTTCCCGGGGCCTCTACACCTGCATCTCGCCATCACTGCAGAGGGTGTCACCCCCACCCCTGGTGCTGTGGTTTCAGGTCAATCCCACTAGTGCCCAGTGAGGGTGGGCATGCAGCCTGGTGGATGTGCCACAAAGAGGATTCTGGTCCCTAGTCCTTGGTGTGGAGCCCCCAGCACCTGCTTCTTACCAGGTGGGGTCAGAAGTGGGGACACCAAGCTTCAGAAACAGACGCAAACCTCAGTCTGGAGCAGGAAGAGCCATTCACACACAGAGTCTACACAGGCTGCGGAGTCCCTGGGGCCGGGACAAGGCATCTGGTGGGTGAGTGTCATAAAAACTGACTGAGTGGACTGGACAGGAAGTGGAGGTTGCGAGGAGAACCAGGGCTCTGGGCACTGCACATTCTCTTTATGGTTCTCTGTTTCCAAGTGGCCAAGAGAGGCAGGGGGTGTGCAGGTTAGCTACAGACTGTCTCCCACCACTGCCTCCTCTTGTCCACCCATCCCTGCCCTGTCCTGGAGCCAGGCCAGGCCCACTTCTCAGCCTGGAGGCCTTACCCTAACCAACTGATTGCTTCCGAGGGCAGAGACAGCTGACCTCAGTGCATCCTGCCATCTGTCCACTTGATCCTTGCTTATCCATCAGGAAGCCAAGTACCAGGTTGACACAGGGGTCTCAGAGGAATAGTGGAGACAGCCCATCCATGCAGGGCAAGGGTGTAGGAGAGCCAGGAGCAGGTTACAGGATGCTTCCAAGAGAAGACCAAACAGTAAAGTGAGAGCAGAGGGCTGGCCTTTCTGGAAACTTTGGGGTCCTGGGACTATGAGGCAGTTGAGAGTCAGGCCCAGCCCAGTGCTCGACATTCACTGGGGCTCACAACGAGTGAATGAATGAGCCAGCCCCGCCGTTGCACACCACACCAGGGAAATGGATTCAGATGGAGATGAGGGGAGGCCTGTGGTGTCTGGCACGAAGTCATGGCTGGTCTGTGGCTTTCGAGCAAATAATGGGCAGGATGGGGAGTGCCCTGTAATATCAGGGCGGGGACAAGCAAGGGACTAGAAGTCTGGTTTGGAAGTGCCAGACCACTCCCAGGTTCAGGGACACGGGGACCCGCACCGATGGGAAGGAAGCTCGGCTTCATTAGGACATCTGACTGCAGGGTGGGTTGGCACTCTTGAAGAAGACAGGTTTGACCCCTGAGAAATGCACATGATCTGGAGGAAGGGAGAGTGCCCAGGAATGGTGGGAACACACAGGCTGTTGAGGGGTTTGGGCAGGAGGGCATGGGATGAGAGGATGTCATACATGTGAAACCCTGCATTCAGGACTTCCAAGGAGAAGTTGCCCTTTCTCCAGCCTCCATCTGCAGCTGGTGAAGTAAATAAGATGGAATTGTATACATGCTGCCCGCCGAGGGGCAAGGAGCAGGGGTCTGCAGGGGAGAGAGGGTGTTCTGTGTGGCAGTCTGGATGAGTGGGAGAAAGCTCTGTGCAGGAAACAAAGGGAGTGTGTAGGGAGGCTGGTGTGGCCGGAGTGCAGGGCCCATGGTGTGAGAGGAAGGAGCTGGAGAAATCCAGACCCTAGCAGGACTGGGCAATGAGGAAATGTTCTCTGAGCCAATCAGGTGGCAGGCACTCAGGAGCTCAAGGGCACGGGCTTTGTGCCTCAGGCAAGGAGAAGGCTTTGAAGATTTTGGAGACTGGAGTGGGAAACATGATAGGGTCCGCTTCCTACTTCAGAGAGCAGGTTTGTTTCTGTCCTCGATTGCTCTCATCAGAGCTAGATGGAACTGAGTTACTTAGAGTAGGACTCACCAAATACAAGTATCATAATGTGGGTATGAGGGACACAGAAGCCTTGTCCCATCTTCTCGGGGCTCAGCCCTCCAGGGGAGAGGAGGTACTGAATAAGAAGAAGCCCTAGGAGTTCTGGCTGAGGCGTTAATAAAGCTGCCATTTCCTCAGTCGCACCAAACAAGGAAGGAGAAACAGGCCTTCCCACCTGGAGCCCCGCTAGCAAGCTCCCAGATAAGCAAGTACCCAGGGGCTGCTCTGGACCTGGGCCTGGGACACCCTGCACCACACGGTCCAGAATAAGGAGGGACTGGGCTCCCTGAGGAGAAAGAGGACAGAGCATGCACAGCCCATGGCCTGAGTGAGCATGGGTACCTCTATGCTAAGAGACAGCCGATCTTTGATGATGACGGTGCATTCAGAAGCCATGGTTGTTGGTCCCCTAGAATCTCCCACCCAGCAGTGCTCCTGGATCTGGGGCCTCCCCCACCAACCTGAAGATCTCCACAGCCCTTTCCCAGAGACCCTGCAGACCCTCAGTGATATCGGCAGCTGATGGAAGAGAAGATTGCACAGCCTGGCACCATTCACAAGCATGAAGGAGGTACTGAGATGCAGAGCTCTGCCTATAAGGCCACCAACCACCGCAGAGATGAACACATCCATGAGCAGCAGGACCATAGGGCACCCGCTGCAGAGATGGGCGTATCCACAGGTGGCAGGACAGTGGGCACCCACTACTGAAATGGATGCGTACACAGATGGCAGGACCACAGGAACCACTGTGGAGATGGACATGTTCATGGCGGCAGGATGGTGGAGTACCCGCTATGGAAACGATAAGTCCACAGGTAGCAGGACTGTGTATCACCTGCCAGATTAAATAAACTCTCACTCCTCCTGCCAAGAGGACCTGGTCATTTTTTTAAACCAAGGTACAATTATGTACAGTAAAATGAAAATGATTCGATCAGTCTGACACACAAACACATGTGTAGTCAACTCCCCCATCAACACAGAGCACTCTGTCACCCTCGTCCCCTGTGGTCCAGTGGAACTCTCCACAGGCTCTGAAATGTCCCATAGGTAACCCTCCACCATGGTAGCCTTGGGCCACATGTGGCTGGGTGACTGAGAAACAAAGTTTTCTCTCTTTTTATGTCATTTTACGTCATTAAAAGTCAGGTGCCTGTGGGTAGAGGGGACCATTCTGCAGCCTGAGAAACCTTCTCTTTGCCCCAGTCAGGCCCGTCCCGCGCGCCCCCCCCCCCCCCCCCGGTGTGCATGTGGAAATCACCTCTGGTTTTTGTTGCCATCCATGTGTGGTCAGCTTTTGTCTTAGAGAAATGGAACTCAGGCCTCTGTCAGGCCTCTCTGCTGCTCTCACTCCTCTGTCTCCCAGCGGATTCCCCTGCAGAAGCTCTGTCTTGTATCCACACCTCCCTGCTGCACTCGCAGTGCTTCCTGTCTGCGTGCACGCTCACAGCCCTGTGAATATTCTTGAGCACATCTTCCTTGGGACATACGTTTTTACTTCTGTGGGGCTGGCCCGGGGGTGGGGGGCGGGGGGGAGCTGTGGTTCAGCCACTGCTGTGCCCACCTTACCCTCACTCCTGCCCCAGACCAGCAGCCCCTCCTCTGGGCAGCAAGTGGCCTCCATCCCTCCTTGATTTACTCCCCACCACTCCACAGGCACATCTTGAGGTTTCGTGCTAAATCTCAGGCACTGCGTAAGGACAAGCTACCTCCAGGGTGGAAGCACATCTCACCCTGGAATGCACAAGTGCCCCAAAGAAAAGGACGTTCATACTCCCTCCGGAGCAGACCCAGCTTCTGCTCCTGTTTCAAAGGCTGCCAGGGCAGCCCTCCCACTCACCCGGCCTCTTTGCCCTTCTCCCCCAGGTCCCTGGCTGTCGGGCCCCAGTACTCGTCCCTGGGCACACAGCCCATCCTTTGTGCCAGCATCCCAGGCCTAGTACCCAAACAGCTGCGCTTCTGTCGGAACTACGTGGAGATCATGCCCAGCGTGGCAGAGGGCGTCAGGATCAGCATCGAGGAGTGCCAGCACCAGTTCCGCGGCCGCAGGTGGAACTGCACCACCATCAACAACAGCCTGGCCATCTTTGGCCCTGTGCTGGACAAAGGTATGCCTTCCAGGTGGAGGTGGCAGCCTGTTGGTGCAGCAGGCCCAAGCCAGCTGCCCTGCTCTGCCCTCGTGTCTCACCTGCCCCTGGTCATGGGAGCAGCACCTCCAACAGGTGGGCAGTGCTGCACACACCTGGTGATATCGGCATCTCTGATGTGGTTTCTTCCCATGATCCCTGGCTCTGAGGGGGCTCCTGGAGCTCAGGAAGGACACAGGATCACACAGATTTCTCTGACTTCCCTTCCCCGAAAGGAAATTGCACTTAAGGCAGGTCTTAGAGAGAAAATACAATTAAAAAAAAATTTTTTTTAAATTTAAAAAAAGACAGGAAGGGAGAGAAGTGGGGGCCAAGAGGCACACGAGGGAAGCTATGCAGGGCCCTGGGGGCCAGCGGTTATTGGGGAAGGAGAGGAGGATGAGGAGGGCTGCATGTTGGTTAACTTTTGGTGAAGAGCAAATTTTCTCAAAACGTCATGGTTTAAACCAGCGATTTTCAGCCAGTGTGCCACAGAATTTTTAAAACATGCATTACCTGACTATTTAGTTAGAGGCACTGACCTCTTTTTCCTTAGAATGTCAGATTTTAAAAAAAATGACAACAGGGAACACAATAGCCATCCAGTGTAAATGAATCAAAATTATAACTATTTATATATATATTTTATGTGCTGCAGAATTTTAGTAATTAGTTTATGTGTGTCATGAGATGAAAAAGGTTGAAAATCTCAGGTTTGGACAATGATGTGTCATACGTCCCAACAAATCAGAGTGCAGCACACCCAGATTGGTCTATGCCCTCCGCCAGTCCCTGTTCTCTCTCACATCTGGCCATCAGTGGGCCTCTGCATGTGGCCTGGGCTCCATCACTATATGGGAGCTGGGCCACATGGGCAAGTGAGAAGGGAAGGAAGTGGAGAGTGGGAGAGAGGGACTCCTTTCATTCACTTAGCGGAATGTTTTCAAGATTTATCCGCACTGTAACATGTTACAGTACTTCATTCCTTTTATTACTGAATAATATCCCACTATATGGATATACCACATCTTATTATCCATTCATCGTTGATGGACATTGGGTTTTTTCAACCCTTGGCCATTGTAAATAGTGCTGCTATGAACATTTTAGTACAACCGTTTTCAAAGCCTTTGGAGTGGATGAGTAGAATTGCTTGGTCTCAGGATAATTCTGTTTAAGTTTTTTTGTTGTTTCTTTTTTAAGAGTATTTTTTTAGTATTTCAAGAAAAAAGATTTTAATTATAATAATATTACATGCAATAAACATTAATATTTCAAGAAAAAAGATTTTAAGTATAATAATATTACATGCAATAAACATTAATATTTCAAGAACAATGATTTTAAATATAATAATACTAGAGGCCTGGTGCACGAAATTCATGCACCAGTGGAGGGGGGGTCCCCTCAGCCCGGCCTGCACCCTCTCGCAATCCAGGACCCCTCAGGAGATGTCCGACTGCCGCTTCAAGCCTGATCCTGCAGGCAGTTGGACATCCCTCTCGAAATCCAGGACCACTGGCTTCTAACTGCCTCTGTCTGCCTGATCGCCCCTAACCACTTTGCCTGCCTGCCTGATTGCCCCTAACCACTCGCCTGCCTGCCTGCCTAATTGCCCCTAACTGCTCACCTGCCTGCCTGATCGCCCCTAACCACCCTGCATGCCTGCCTGATCACCCCTAACCGCCTCTGCCTTGGCCCCCGATGCTGCAGCTTCATCCGGAAGGTCGTCTGGAAGGACGTCCGGAATGACATCCGGAAGGCCCTTTGGCTGTTCAGTCTAATTAGCATATTACGCTTTTATTATTATAGATTACATGCAATAAAAATTAATATTTCAAGAAAAAGATTTTAAATATAATAATATTACCAAAACTGTACTAACATAGTATAATATCACAAAAGTTGTAGATAATATTAAAAACTGCAAATAACAGGATTATTTCTATTATAGTCTAAAATATTTTTTTCTCTGGCTCTATTTTTGTTCATCAGTTTATGTTGTTCATTTTATTCCACAAATGAGTGAGATCGTGAGATATTTATCTTTCTCCGACTGGTTTATTTCACTTAGCATAATTTCGCTTATTTTGCTTTAGGTCCATCCATGCTGTTGCAAATGGTAAGAGTTCCTTCTTTTTTACAAAGTAGTATTCCATTGTATAGATGTGCCACAGTTTTTAATCCATTCATCTGCTGATGGGCACTTAGGTTGTTTCCAAATCTTAGCTATTGTGAATTGTGCTACTATGAACATAGGGATGCATATATCCTTTCTGATTGGTGTTTCTGATTTCTTGGGATATATTCCTAGAAGTGGGATTACTGGGTCAAATGGGAGTTCCATTTTTAACTTTTTGAGGAAACTCCATACTGCTTTCCACAGTGGCTGCACCAGTCTGCATTCCCACCAGCAGTGCAATAGGGTTCCTTTTTCTCCACATGCTCACCAGCACTTGTCCTTTGTTGATTTGTTGATGACAGCTACTCTGACAGGTGTGAGGTGGTACCTCATTGTCATTTTGATTTGCTTCTCTCCAATGATTAGTGACTTTGAGCATATTTTCATATGTCTCTTGGCCTTCTGTATGTCCTCTTTCAAAAAGTGTCTATTGAGGTCCTTTACCCCTTTTTTGATTGGATTGTTTATCTTCCTTTTGTTAAGTTGTATGAGTTCCCTGTAAATTTTGCAGATTAAACCCTTATTGGAGATAACATTGGCAAATATGTTCTCTCATGCAGAGGGCTTTCTTGTTGTTCTGTTGGTTTCTTTTGCTGTGCAGAAGCTTTTTATTTTGATGTAGTCCCATTTGTTTATTTTCTCCTTAGTTTCCATTGCCTTAGAACAGTGGTTCTCAACCTTCCTAATGCCGCGACCCTTTAATACAGTTCCACATGTTGTGGTGACCCCCAATTTCATTGTTACAAATTGAACATAATTAAAGCATAGTGATTAATCACGAAAACAATATGTAATTATATATGTGTTTTCCGATGGTCTTAGGTGACCCCTGTGAAAGGGTCATTCGATCCCCAAAGGGGTCACTACCCACAGGTTGAGAACCACTGCCTATGTCTGATATTTTGTTGCCTGTGGATTCCTTTAAGATTTTTATGGTTTCCCATTTTATGTTTAAGTCCTTTATCCATTTTGAGTTTATTTTTGTGTATGGTGTAAGTTGGTGGTCTAGTTTCATTTTTTGCATGTATCTGTCCAATTTTCTCAACACCATTTATTGAAGAGACTGTCTTGACTCCATTGTATGTTCTTGCCTCCTTTGTCAAGTATTAATTGAGCATAATGGCTTAGGTCAATTTCTGGGTTCTCTGTTCTGTTCCATTGGTCTATATGTCTGTTCTTGTGCCAGTACCAGGCAGTTTTGAGAAAAGTGGCTTTGTAATATAGCTTGATATCTGGTATTGTGATCCCTCCAATTTTGTTCTTCTTTCTCAATATTGCAACAGCTATTTGGGGTCTTTTTTTATTCCATATGAATTTTTGGAGAGTTTGTTGTAGGTCTGTGAAATATTCCGTTGGTATCTTAATGGGGATTGCATTGAATCTATAGATTGCTTTAGGTAGTATGGACATTTTAATGATGTTGATTCTACCAATCCATGAACACAGTATATTCTTCCATTTGTTTATGTCTTCCTCTATCTCTTTTTTCAACCTCCTGTAGTTTTCCAAGTACAGGTCTTTTACTTCCTTAGTTAAGTTTATTCCTAAGTATCTTAATTT